AACCCAAAAGGAACAGGAACGGTTCTTTTCAGCCTTGTAGCTGAGGTGCGCATATACAAAGGTAGCCTGTTGCTGATTTCTGTCTGTGGGAGCGAGACAGACAGATTTGCACGTGAAGGCACCAAGTAAGCGTGCCTCTCTGCCCCGCCACTCTGTTGATGCCCTTTAATCCTGATCAGCAGGCCTCGGTGGTGTCCCCCTGAGCAGAAGCCAGTCTTGAATCCTGCTATGGTTTGCTAATGTTGATATAGAAGAGACGAGAATGAGACCCAACAAAGTCATTTTCCGCTCTTAATAAAAGGCTAGTACCATTGCACTCCGCTGAACCTGCCCTCAGTTGAACACTGTTATTTTCCGAGTAAGGTACTGCTGCTAATCTTTGGTAGGGTTGCATCCTCTTTCAAAGAGACAGAAACGAAACCAGAAAAGACTTAAAACAACGAATGGTCTTGCAGCATCTTCGACAAATGTTGTTAGTCTCTAAGGTGCTGCAAGACCATTCGTTATTTTTGACATTGTTTCAGTTATAGACTAACACGGCTAACCCTCTGAAACTTTTAAACCAGAAAAGAACACTCTTATTTCCAGAACGAGAGTGTCCACGTACAACTGTGGCAGTGTAATTATATTAGGATAGTTGGGTCCTGAATTTTGCCAGTCCTCAGTAGCATGGCAATTATGCAGCTTTCTATATTCTGTGCAGTTTTACGTACATATGTTATTCTTCACTTCCCATCCTAAACCGGTAAGAGTTGCTGTGGGCAAGGAAACAGCGTCCATATTATTCTCAAAGGCAGCTGCATAACTATCATGGTTTATTTCTGTATGTTGTACTGATTTTCCTAAATCTTTTGGAGAAATTTACCACTCTTCGGAAAAATGGGGGTTTGGATAAATGGGAGAGTAATGCATGGTTCATGTAGCTGAGATCAACCTTCATTTACACATGTGGTTAACTGGAAGTCAGATGATTGGAGGTGTATTATATACAGTTTATAAATCAATTTGTAAAATTCTTTGCAATCTTCTGGCATGAATGGTACGACATAAATGCAAGTCATTATCATTATCTCTATAGAATCCCCCTGCAGTCTCCCAACCCCACAATGTACTGCCAACAGCACCACAGGAGTTTTCTTGTTATTAGCTGACAGCTTCACTGCCTGGTACATCTACCAGTGCAGGAAAATCATGTTCTCTGGAGGTGTTGGGAATTTCCTCGTGTCTGTTGCCCAGAGTTGAGGTGCTTTTCAGATTGGATTCCAATCTGTGCACATGGCTCTCCAGCTGAGAGAGGGTTAATTAATGCCAAAAAGGGGCACTTCTCTCTGTTCCAAAACCAGCTTAAACGCACCATTTTGGTTACTGGCTGATTGAAAATGTTCTACTGTATTTTTGCTTTGTTTTTTTAAAGAAACAGAGCCAGTGTTTCAAATTTCCTTAGTTATATTTAACCCCACTTTGTTTGTGTGTGCACGTGCACATGGGGGAAGGAGGGGTGATTAATGCCAAAAAGGGGCACTTCTCTCTGTTCCAAAACCAGCTTAAACGCACCATTTTGGTTACTGGCTGATTGAAAATGTTCTACTGTATTTTTGCTTTGTTTTTTTAAAGAAACAGAGCCAGTGTTTCAAATTTCCTTAGTTATATTTAACCCCACTTTGTTTGTGTGTGCACGTGCACATGGGGGAAGGAGGGGTGGTTTT